GCTCACCTTGCCTGCCCATCATTGTCGTGGTGCGCTGGTATACGAGAGCCCACCACCGTTGTCAACTGATGTAGTGCCCGCCGTCATAGCTTTATGCTCCTCTTGCCTGCCCACTATTGTTGTAGTGCGCTGGTATACCACTGCCCACCACCGTCGTTGTCCAAGAATGCAGACATATCCAATATTGTTGTGGGGTCTGCTCCTTGTCACAACATCCAACAGTACAGCCCTATCCAATATTGTTGTAGTGTAATCATTCAATTATGGTGATGCCCAGTCATGTTGTAGCTCTACCGTGTCATACCGTAAGGGATGCTTTACCTAAGGATGTTGTAACTCCACTGGATCCACCTTTGTACACGAAGGCAAATGGATGTATGTCCACAGCTTGTTAATTATTCAAGCAACTAGCATTGCTTGATTGGTGTAGCCCCCGGTCTTTCAAGGTCACGCATAGCACATTCCAGTTGTTTTAGTTTACGCTCCAACGCTTGACCTAATGAACTGTGCGGAGATATAAATTGAGACGGCGGGGCAACTGACAAACGCCCTCCGCGACCATTCCGTCCGACCCCGCTGATCACCGATGGCCTTGCCGTACTGAGATTGTATATACCACTACGAGATCTGCGGTCGTGCAATCCAGTCTCGCCACCCTCATACTTTCTATTTTGTCGTGCATCGTGATCGTCCTCAACGTGCTCGGCGTGGTATCTCATTTCGTCCAGGCCGTGCGTAGCGGGATGTGTGCTCTGTCGCTCAAGCTCAGCGACGCGCGCTGCCTGAGCTTCAACCGTCACTACTAACTGGCTCATTCTTCTGGTAAGGTCTTCCAGCCTTCGTTCAGCATCCAATCTGGCCCGCTCTGCCTCTGCTCGGGCTCGCTCAGCCTCTTCCTTAGAACGCTCGGCTTCACGCCGAACTCGCTCGGCTTCAACTCGGGCCTGGTTTGCCGTATCGCGCTCTCGTTTGGCCTCTCGCACCTCACGATTCTTGCCGTCTCGGAAATCATTGGCGGACTTACTAGCGCGGGCTATAATATCCTCAATAGGTTCTTTTGACGAACCTCCCGACGTTTCGCTGGCCGAGGACTGTCCGTTGCGCAGGCCATAGACAGGGTGGAGAGAATTCAGAGCCGCTTTCTGTGCGTTAATATCCAGTTCCTCTTCGTCAATTCCCATGTATCTGATGTATTCCGGCGCGCTTTCAGAGTCAGTGTGCGGCGGTACTTCGTGTCCGCCACCACTACCACTGTGCGAAGCCTCTCCCGGCCGTTCGACACCCTTGCCCTTGTCTACAGGCGTAGGTGTCTCGGGTGAATCTTCCGACTCTGTGTCACTGCCGCGCGATGTATACGACACACGGCGCTTGTCCTCCGACTTCCTAGGAGTTTGCGGGACTCCCGGCGCCGCAGGTGAGCTAGACGTAGTCGTGTCGACGTCATCGTCTTTCGTGACTAGGGAGGTGTCCTCAAGGTTAGTCAACAACGCAAAGCTGTTCTCATTGCTAATAGATACTCGATGAGACAACACCGGCGACGCGCTATGGCGCCGACGCGGAACCTTGGACCATGACTCGGTGCCATCGCTTGACTGCCCGCCGAATCCACCAATAATGAAGGGCGACGGACTCTGTGACGCAATGGTCGAGATATCCGTCCTCTCAATGTCGCGCACGCCTCCGTGCGGCATACGCCCTCCAGCGGAGGCACCACTTTGTACTCCGACTGATTCCAGTCCCGGGTTCGACGCACGAGGCTCGACTGCCACTGGGACATCTCCCGGGTTCGGTACACCAGGTCCGACCGCCACAGGAGCCACATCATTACCTCCAGGGTTCGGTACACGAGGTCCGACTGCCACAGGAGGGCCCCCAGGGTTCGACGCACGAGGGTCGACCGCCACCGGAGGACTTCCGCTAGGACCGGACGCCGCAGCGCCCGTCCTGTTGTCAACGTTCGCCGCGGGCTGCGAGGGGTTACCGGCAGCCCGCACGTCTCTGCGGGTCCACTGACCCGTCAACTCGTCTCTAATAGGCATGGTAGTCGCAGTGTAGTAGCGCAAGTAGTAGGATACTTAGCTAGTCGTCGCAGTATCCGATGTAAGGGCGTGTCCGGGTGATCAAGCCGGCCAGTACCTATCCACAGGAGTAAGCGACTTCGAGCGAAGCGAATTACTCACAAGACACTCTCAAAAATATGTGACGCGAGTAAGATCAGAACTGATCAAAGTGCGTTCACACGGTCAGTTTCTCGAGCGGCACAGTCAGAGAGTTCAAAGTCTCGTTATTGAGCAACTCGAGAAGATACAAAAAAGTCGCCCCTCCTCCGTCAAGCATCGGCGTACTTATACTCTATCGTAAGTACCTGACCATATGGAGGTGGAGCATGCTGATGAATCAAAGGGGGGGACGCGTAAGCGTCCAGCGAACAAAAAAGGAAAGTAGCGACGGTCTCGATAGCATCGATGGCCGAACCGCTACACAGGGCTTGACGACGACGACAACAACAGACCGATAACAATAACCATGCATAATTTGCACCCACCTTGTTCCCCGGACCGTAGCAAGGAGCTTGGGAATCCAAATTGCTGTCGAACGCATCCCAGACAACTCGAACCATATTGCGCGTGTATTGGAACCCACCCGACCCCCAGTCGCCGCCATCCCTTTTTTTCCACAGCGAAAGCAAGTCCACGCGTCTCTTGAAGGACCTCACGCGTAGGGTCTGCAAGCAACGTCTGACATCGTACAACAAGAAGAGAACCGCACCAACTCTCGACGGCGACGATCTATACCTCCAACCAGTACGCACGTCGCACGAGGACTCCTTCCCTAAGATGAATTGACTGACCAACGAATAGGTCGGATGGACCACAACGACCGGCTTGCAAGCGGGCGACTACCAGCTCCTCACGTACGGCTCATCTCCACGAACCAGATGACCTCGGTGAGTACAGCAAACCCTCAGTCTACCGCTCCTCACCATATCAAGCAGGCGTCTTCATCCGCAATCGTCGAAACATCACACCCACTCGTTCGGGCAGGAAAGCGATCTCGATCCATTTCCGTGACAGAGGAACGCCATACGAAACGTCGTCGCGTGGCGGATGAATCTCGAAGAGAAAGGAGGACCAAGGTCGGCGGTGCCCTGGGCGATCTCAAATTTCTGCAGGGACAGAAGGGCAATGTGCTCGTGCTTGTGGCAGAGATGCAGCAAGGCATTAACCGCATGGAGAACGGTCTTGTAGATCTGGTAGTGAGGGGCGAGCGGGCTCGCCAACGTGGCTACTCCCATACGGGTTCCACAACTTGCGATGGGTCCACCGGAGTCAGCCTGTGAGTATTGCCTATCATTCTCGCTTTACTCCCGTCTCATGGCTTTAGATGTAGGCTCCCGAGGGGAGAATACAACTTACCCCAGCGACTGGAATCACAACAAGAGCCCACGAATCTAGGGACTTCTGACATCCATGCTCGCACATCCGAGACGACCAGTGTGCATCGCATTCGCGTCCGAACACATCCGGAAGACTATTCGCGCGATGAACTCGCGTCGTTATATCGCGCCCACATCGATGCTCTTCCAGTCCCCTGCACTTGTCGACGGACCGCGCTACAGCAGGAACGGATCAAGGACACAACGTATGTGCGCCCCCGCCCGCGCATCGGCGTGGATGCACAGGGATTAGCGTTTGAAGACTGGACTTCTCATCCGCCCTCTCGCGGCTTTGAGCGGCTCCCAAGGAAGGAGCAACTCCTCCGGATGCGCCTTTCCTCCAGCATGTACCACGATATCACAAACGACGCGCACGTTTACCCGGTACGAATTTGGCCGCGACGCCCCAGGTCGTCCTCAACAGGTTTCATCCTCCAGTTTCGCCACGTACCTCCCGTTGCCTCCGATTATATGGAAACGTGGCACGTCGAGAGAGGACGATGTCTGACCTGCATAGCGAGGGCGATGCGCACGTTTCCCTTGTGGATTATCAAACTAGACCACTTCCATGGAGCGATAGAGGACGGGAATCCCGTCTTCACGAACCGTAGACAGGACGAACTAGTGGAATGGGATGAAGGACGGAAGAGGTGGCGTCACCTCGTCTTCGACCATTATCAATGGGTTCCCGTGGAAGAGCTGGAGGAGAGACCGAGTGACTGCACCGCCGATGCCAGGACCATCAACGGATTGCATGATACACCTGTCCCTGATTCGTATACGGTCGCTTACTGGCGGATCATAGATACGTGACAATTAACTAGTGCGTGTCGCTCGCTCATATGCTTCGCGGTGACGAAGCGCAGACAGCCCTTGCGCCATCGCTTACTTTTGTGCCGCCCTGGACTCCTTGTGCTTCCCTTTCTTGGTTATGATACGAAGTATCCGTGATGCAAGGTCCTCAGGAGCCTTTCGCTGGGAGGCCGTGTTGCCTGTGCCACCCGAAAGGCAGTGCATTGCTTGCAGACAAAGCCCCTCACGATGCAAGATTCGGTTGCCTTGTCTCGACTGCTTGTCCGTAGTTCATGCTTTAACTCCGACGTTCGCATACGGTTATTGTTCGCGAAGACCTGTTCGCCACCTTGAACAAAGCAAAGCCGCGAACATGCATATAAGCGGTCATACTGGGCTTAGAAGACGTTCTCGCATCCCCCAACATGCCCCAGCCTCAGAGCTTGCGCCTTCACCTAGAGGATCCAGTGGTCTTTGCTCAGCATGCATCTACGAAATACGAGTTGCACGGGCAAGGCTGGGCTGTCCTCCAGTCCACATCTAAGTCTCGCTCGCATCTGCTCTTCGGCACCTCGTCGAAAGCATGGGGAGTATGTTATTCTAGCTCCGATCGGCCCTTCAACGGACAAGCCGAGGATAACGGTAAGCAATCATGATGCTTAAACGACACGAATAGCTCGTCGCTGACAACCGAGCTTGTGACAGGTGAAATCCCTGCTTCTCATGAACAGAGTCCTATTGCCACGGTGTCACTCGTGAACGGCGATCTTGGACAGAGCAGGCATGCAGATGCGTACGGGGAGATATCATGCGATAGCTCTGACATCGGAGTCTACGTACGCCCCCTGAAATTTAACGCATAAATGATATTCTACTGATGACCTTGACAGGTAAATGGAGCATACCTCGAACCTACAGGGTCTCGCAAACTCCAATCCGATGATATCATCCGGTTTAACGACGCAGGTGTGTAGGCCTCTTATTTACCATGCTTGCAGTCGTTGATTACTCACCTGGATCTTGAAGAATACGTCTATCGGTGTCTCATGAGCGTTCCAGATACACCCCACTGTGTTGAGGCTGAACGATACAAGGTCAATGATGCAATGGCGGTCGGGGAGTTAGCAAGTAAGTTCCATGTCCGCTGGTTGTACGCGTTCACCGCCGACTGTCTATACTCAGGCCATCACGTTGCGAAATGCATCAAAACCGGCCATGCTGTTGTCGTCAAGCGCATTGCGGTGCCGGTTGGAAGGCTCGGCGAAGTTGCATCCCATCTTAGGATGCGCGACGATCTCATCCACCGTAATGTTGCATACCTGTGTGACTGGTATATGCTCCCTGGGGATCCTCATGATACGGATAGACAAATCAGTAAGCGATTTACGAGGCAGTCACTTCGAGTTCTAACTCATGCCACCTATAGGTTTTGTAACACCTCTCGCCCCTCGCGGAAATCTACACGACTTCATCACAGTAGGCAATGGAAAGCTCGGTGGGTGCCTCTCCATGCTTTCTTTGCGACTGATGCTAAGTCTCTGATTTCAGGTGAATTCCTCGCTCGTCCCGTCATGGCCCAACTCATGGACGGATTGATGGTGAGGGACACGCGCATATCGATGACGGCCGCGACTGACTATCTCATCGCAGTATATACATGATCAAGGCATAATCCACTGCGACATGAAGCCTGAGGTTAGTATTGTGGCTACCGTTCGTCTGGCTGACTGACAAAGAAGTCGCTCAGCATGTCCTCGTATACGGTTTGAGCCCAGCTGGTCCCATCGTCAAGATCAGTGGTCTCGGACTCGCCACGCGATCTGGGAAGAATGACGCCATAGAGCTCAGCACATCTCTTCGTCGGGCGATGATGAAGAGTGCCGCATGGGCCGCACCTGAATCGCTGAACTATGAGCATACGGAGCTCAGCGATGCCTTCAGCTTAGGAGCCACCATGTTTTTCATGTGAGCCGTTTGCACTCGTCCCTTTGTTCATGGCGCTTACCACGTCCGGAAAGCCACTGGGGTAAACCTCTTTATGAAATCGAAGGAGTGACGTTCTTCGAGGAAATCATGCAAAGGAGGCGCACAAATTTTAACAAACTACGGAGGCAGTTGATGAGCTCCAACGGTAATCCATCATCCTTGTTTGGCCATGCAGAATGCTTATAGATCGTTCCTTCGCAGCATGCGACCTCATCGAAAGCCTTACGAAGGTGTCCATGAGCGAACGAATCGGCTTACGCGAAGCGCGACAACACGCCTGGTTCAACGGATGTCAAGTCCCCCCTCCATTCTCTGCTCAATACCAGTACGACGACCCTCTGGTTCAAGGATTTATCGCTAGAGGCGGGAGACCTGCCGTTAGCAACCATGATCCCGTCAACAAGAACGGTCTTCTGGACTTCAGCGACTGCTTCTCCGCCGACAGCGATTCTCTGTTCGATGCTGGCCTTATCTCCGAGAGCGAATTCGAGGCGCGCCGGGGGCTTGAATGGGATGTTCTAGATTCTCTCGTAAATCCCTCTTTCTTGGAGTCTGAGAGCGACTTCGGCGCGCTTGCTAGCGAGATTTCCCCAGAACCAAGCTCCTCGCTCGCCGCGATCCGTGTCGTTCCGATCCCTGGAGCACAGGCTTATGAACCTGTCGCACCCGGGTCGCCGTCGTTTGTCGAACCGGAACGTTACTACGACGACGAAGAAACAAGACGTTAAAGGCTGGGATCCCGTGAGCGAAACCATCGTTTCCTTGGCCGACAAACCCAACTGGCGCGGACCGCGGGTCTACCCTATTGGGTCGACTTATCGCTACTCCCCGGTGACGCGCGATCGCTCGGAGCGCGTCCTCTCGTCGGCCAAGCGCAATTCGATCAAGCTGAACTGTGCGCGAGCCGCGACGGTACGAAAAGGTCTCGCTACATCGCCGGACCCGGTGAACACAGCGGCGAAGGCACTGGCACGCGGTAGCGTCCCTCTTGCAGACGTGAGGTACCCGGGAATCCGGCAGGCTGGATCGGCGCTTGATCCTGTCGAAGC